CTCAAGGATTCATGTATTATATTGAGGACAATGGGACAGAGAGAAGAGAAACAGGACTGGAATAAAGTGGTGGGAATGGGATCTAAAATAGATGTTTTAGATCCCATTCTAAATTTGCTTGATAAATGAAATTACTGTCAGTGTCTGTTAAGAAGGAGAATATAAACTTTACAAATTCAGCATATTCATTGATGCTCAAAAGAGTCCAAAAGAAAAACCACAAGTCCACAGATGTGGATGCTTATTTATGCACAAACTTTCAGGCACAGAAAATTTAAAATGAAAACACAACTGCAGTGACTGTGCTAAATATCTAAAACACAACAGAACATGCATTGTGGAATTATTTTTGCCAGTAATGAAACAGAAAAAAGAAGTTGTGCTTGAAACCAATACCATCCATGAAAGAATTCAACTTTCTGTATTTTTAAACTACTGGGGCATGTATAAGCTGCATTGCTATGCTAGAATCCATGCAAAAAGAAAATCAGCAAATTTAGAGAAAGTTATTTAGCAAAATCTCTTTAAATAGAAGTATCTGTATAAAAGGATCAGTTTCTAATGATAATAATTTGTGACCTGGTTTACATTAGAAGCACTTGTTAAATTAGTGCAATGTGTGATCACCTTATCGTGTTGTAAATTAATATGGAGCAGGAATAAATTATAATAGATAATATTAAACGGTGAAGGAGAAAATTACCCATTGAAATCAGATCAGATCAGTCAATTTCTGGCTGTCTTTCAGGTTTCACCTTTCTCCACACAGTTTTTCTGTGTTGAAAGATCCTGTGCTAACTTACACTGTTATGAACTTCTACTACACACCTTAATGTATACAGCACTTGCTGTACAAGTTGAATGCTTAATGGGCATTGTTTTACTTTACTCGCACAGTACTGCACAGGCATTGCAGCTCTAACAGGTGCCTGCACCCCTTTGCTCCTGCCATCTCTTAACTTGTTGACTTCGACTTGTTATCGTTTGTGTTTGTCCTCATTTTTCTATGTATCTGAATTACTTTCTTTTCACATTTACTTCATGCATTACTGTAAATTTGGAGAAAGGCCATCTTTTAAATAATAAACTTCATAAGATTAAAAATTACCAATTTCCTGGTGAATGTGTGCTTGGACGTCTGGAAACTGTATAAGATACAGTAGGCTCCATTGTAAACCTGCTATAATTGTATCAAAGCCTGCAAAAAAAAGGACAAATGTAAAGATTATTCCCTATCACAGAAGACACACATTTTATCCAGCTTTTTTTTTTCCAAATCTATTGGCAATTTTTTTAAGAAGCAGATGTAATAAAAAAAGAAATACCCAAGGAGAGAATTACAACACTTGTAATAGCAGTGTCATCCCTAGGTATCTGGAAATACAGTATTATACTTGCAGCAATTGCCACATACAGTACATACATTATATGTTCCTGTAGCTCTTAGCTTGGCTTAACTGATTAATTAATATCCACTGAGAATGAGTTTACTATTATATGGTGATAGATTCTTCATACTATTATTGGTTTCAGTTATTTTACTGGAACAGCCAGCTCAGTATAAAAGTAGCTGGTTAACTGCTTTATGAGGGCTTACCTGGGAAACCGCCAGAGAAAATTAATCAACCAACCAATCAATCAGTTAGGAAGGAGATTCTTTTTAAGACCGAAAATAAAAATTTGAAAAAACTTAATCTTCTTCAGTTATGAAGTTTTCATAGAAATATATTAATTCATTTTGGAATATCTACCGATATGTACTAATCACTAATTACTTGGATAGTTTTAATACTGTATTATACTTTGTTAAATGATGAATAAATAAAAAGGGGGGGGCAGAGGCTATGGTTTAATAAAGCTCAGTGGATTTTCTTGTCTAAAGTTTGGGCTTGAACAATATCTGTAAAATATATTTTTAAACCTCTCCCTACTTCTATTAACATTTTGTTTCTTTTAGTGTTTATTGGAGTGGATTTCTTCGGGCTACTCTTCAACAGTAAAAAAGTAGAAACCAACTATCAAACCCTGAATATTACAAATAATGACATGGTTTGTATTTGCCTGTTTCTTCAGGGAGAAACATTTAATATCTGTTTAATGCCTCCGTCTCATAATCAGTACATTTTACTTTTCATAATATGAAATAAATGTTTTTCTTTTTAACAACCCTTACCATTTTCCCCTATTTTCTTATGTAGTTTCAAACTGGTCTTTAAAATATACTGTATATAGGCTGTAATAACTTGTAATACATTTAATTTATTTTGAAAACTCCATGTGGACAAAAACAGTTTCAATATATTTTGTTTAGTTAATTTCACTTCTCAACGGCTCCCATGTTCCTGTTGTTTAAGTGGTAAAACTGAATGTAAAAGACTGCTAAAAACTGCTTAAAGCACTGGGTTTATACATGGTAATAAGATCCTCTTCTTTATACACCAATTAATTTTTTCAATCAAAATCATAATATCTGACTGAATATCTGACTGAATATCTGACTGAATATCTGACACCTCAATTATTTAAATATAATTTTACACTAAATGTCACACTTGCTGTTTTAGGACCTTTATGTTTGAGTCCAGGTTTTACCATGAACTGCCAATGTGGATCAGCCATGTGGGAGGACACCCACATGAACACAAGGTGAACATGCAAACTCATACTGTACATTGCTAATAGTTTTGATCAAAATCCAGTTACATAGACTCTTGTGATAAGTGACTTTGAATCGTTACTGTGTGTATAAAATGGGGCCTCTTTAACAACTGTAATCTGAATCTTTCACCTTTAGTACAATATAACCCTCAATCTTGGAACTATACCAGACACCACATCTGGATAACATAATCTTGTTTTTTGCAGACAAGTGTAGACAGCTAAGACATGCTTAGGTATTTACTATGGCTACAACACAATATGTCCTCAGTATCTCAAAATATGTTCTTTATTTACTGCAGTACCATAAAGTACGATGTGACTATAAAAGACGGGAAGGCTAATCACACTAGCATGGAAGGAAACTCAAATATCATTGCTATTACAGTAAGTTTGCAAAATACTGACCATGCTCAAACTGCCAAATTGTAGTATTCCACATTCCTTTATTTGTTTTTTTTAACTGTATAAGATGTATGTTGATTATAAAGGGTGCTAAAATTCCATAATGTTTTTTGTGACATTTTTGACGCAAGGAAAAAAAAACTTTTAGCCCAGAACTTTTCTGGGCTTTCTCTTTTGCTTTTGGGCTGGATTTCAGGGTTTGAAGGGGAGAGGTGGACAACAAGGAATGAATCAACACTCCTCCCACCTCACCTCTCCTCACTGCGGGACTTCAAAAGGTCAAACTGCACTGCTGTAGTTAAGGGCATTAAAGTTTAGGTTTCTGCACGCTGGTCTTTGAATAACCTCATGTTACAATATAAAAGAAGATGAGAGGCTACTACATGAGAAGCTTTCTAGAAGTGGATTTAAAAATGAGAACAGGAGGTACTGTATATATTTGCAGAAACAGGCTACCCATCCATGTTGTTGAAATCAATACCCTGGCTACAAGAAACCACAGGATGAAGTCCTCAGATCAATTACCTACTATTTATAGAGTGGTCTACATGTAGCAATTCCTCTTCTTTGGAATTGTTTTGTATCCTTATTTTCTAACCATAATACTCCTATTGAAGGACTACATACTGTATGTAACTAAGAGCAACACAAGAATTTGTGGTGGAACATTTGTTTCCTACAATATGAATAAATAGAAATTCTGACATCTCATCTGACAAACCTCAGAGTGAATTGCAATGCCAATAATAATATTTTTAAGTTAAAAGTCAAGTGCTTGAATATGTTTCCTGGCAATAATATCCAAAAATATTTAAGAATACATTGCAGCATTTTCTGAAAACAGGATGACATCATGCACATTGGCCTATATTAAGTATAAATGTATGTATATACTGTATATGTGGCACAAAACTAAAGGCAACGGTGCACCTCCGGTCTATTTTTAATGTGCAAATAATGTATATCATATTCAAATTTGAATTAATAACAAACAAAAATCCATTCATCAAGTTATAATTTAAATGGAAATGGATGTATACAGATATTAATGTATTCAAGTACTTGAATAAGTCTAATAGAAATATGCCTAGCAGCAACAGTCAATATGTTCTCACATGATGTAAACTGCACGAAAACCAAATACTTTGAAAATTCAACACAAACAAAAGAACTGAGTCATTATAAAGCATAACTAGTGCAGCTACACATTGGATTTGCAGAACAAAGTTACCATTAGGACATACAGTACTGAAATGTATAGCAGTTTTTTTTTATTTTGAAGGCATTTGCATTAACCACATAGAAAGCCACCATCAGGAGCAGATGGTTTTCAGTATGGAGTTGATCAATGTATTGTTCAATTCAGAGTTTGTTGATTAAAGCAGCTATTTTATTACATCTGTATAATATTTATTTGGACCATAGTGAGGTGAGAAATCTTCCTCCTATTCTATTTTTCATTACAATCCAAAATAAAACATCCAGAATGAAAGAAAAAAAAACATCTGTGGATCACATATATGTATATTAGGTCAAGAGTCCTCAGTAATTGCTTGCAGATGTCAAGGAAAATGCAGGCTTCTGTAATTCTAATCCCTATTGTAAACTCAGTACCACCAAATGCCAGAAAGCTAATAGGTCAGGGACTGCTACTTTATAAAGACTGTATCACATAAGTTAAACAGCACGTTTTAAAATAGTTTTTCTAACAATAACAAGAATTATTACCTGCTAAACTTTAATTAGAAACATTTCTACAGGATTTTTTGTATCCAGATGAATGCACTACCAATTTACAATGAAACTCTTACCCTGTACAATGCTCCCTAAACAAAAAGAATTCTTAGATTTATTAACTCCAAAAGATGCAAAGTTAAAGTTGAGGTTTCAAAAGGATAGAAAATGTGTGTTCTGATGGGCTCATGACAACAGAGTGGACTTAATTTAACTTGTTCCAATGATACAGTATGTGGAAAAAATTGTTTTGCGAATGGAGAATGCTTTCATCAAGGAGTCATACAAATTTATACGGGCTTCATACAAGTCCATACAAAGACTTATGTAAAAAAAATATTTTGAGTTGTTATTTTGTGTTACTATAAATCTCTCTTTGAACAGGTTAAGATCATTGCATGTTTCAATGGTTCTCAAGAATGGTCCAGGGATTATTCTTCAGTTAGTGAATTCTTAACCAAAACAGCTTTTTTGACTAGACATTTTTAGGACAGTTTTCCTTAGTAAATACTTAATACTAGTTTTCTCACTGTGAAGAAAGGACTCAAACTCAGGTTGATTCTTCAATTGTTGCTGTAGCTTTCTAAACAGACTGGCTGACTGTGTTCAGAATGAATGTTTTGAACATTCTCATTTTTTCTTCCAGTCAGTTGAATTTGAAGTAGGATATTGGTGAACTTTGCAGTACCATCCATCCATTTTCTAACCACTTTATCCAATACAGGGTTGTTGGGGAGCTGGAGCCTACTGTATCCTGTCAACCAACAGGCGCAAGGCAGGCTACTGCACATCTTGGGCTTGATATCACAGTCCACTGAGCCTAGTCCATTGCACAGTTGACAAAAGCTAACACAGACATGCACACGCTCAGTCACACCAGGACCAATTTTCCCTGAAGTCAATTAACCCACCAGTGTGTCTTGGGACTGTGGAAGGAAACTGTAGAACCACCTGGACACAGAACATACCAACTCAATGCAGATGGCACCCCAGGAATTAGTGGTTAGCAATGCTAACCACTGAGCCACTGTACTGCCTAATTAAAGCCCGATGAATTGGTATTCGGTTGAACCTAGTTCCAAACTTTATTAAAGAGATCATCTTTTTCAATGTACCCAAGCCAACATTTTACTTAAGGTACTTATCATGTACCATGAAAGGTTTTATATGAAAAGGGTGTTAATGGGTGATAATGATGGGCACTACATACCCATCATTATCATCATAATCCTCAGTGAATATGTACTGGACAAAGTTGATACCCACCAACCAGAAGCAAAAACCACTGGCATATATAACGCAGGAATCAGCACAGCTTCTTACCTGCCCCAAATATGTCAATGACAGAGTTGACAATTTGTTTATTTGAAAGCATGCAATTCTTGCTCTCTTCATGCCTGTCTTCACACAAAGCGATCAATGCATCTGTAATGTCTCTGATGCAATTCTACAAAGAAAAATAAAATTAGTTCTGGAATACAGACAATATTGAACACCATAGTTTGTTATCTTAAAATATGCAAAGAATATGTGAATAGTAAAATAATCACTATTATTTGTGCAAGGAGGCTGGGAATTACAGAGAGTTCAGTTATTATAGGGTGAATGGGATATTTTTAAATAAGCAGTAATAGAATATTCTAGAGATGTACTGCTTAATGTGTTTTATGGCAGTACAATATAGAACACATTGAAGTGATTGTGCCACAAGTCTTTCCACAAAACCACGTTATCTATTTTTTTCCACAATTGTTATATGATTCTTTGGTAAAAGCAACTGGAAACCTAAAGGACTAAGAAATACCTTCATAATCAAAATTCTAAAGGTAAACTACCAATAAGGCTTCGGTCATTCTGAAACAGTTACAGTACTCAAATAAAAATGGTTTCTTTATAACAATACTCTGACCTTCATCCATCTACTTTTATAACAGTATACTGATCCATATGTAGATGGTGCTGCAATTCCCCAGCTATCACCACACCGCTAAAGCATTCTGAAAATTGTTTTCAGTTTTAAACTATTCACACCACATTACAAATTGTGTCTGAACATGTCACGTCCAACACCAAAGCAGAATGACTGAGTGTTGTCAACATTCTTACCTTATCAAATGTAGTTAAGTGTTCTTCAATATTTCGGGCCAAAAAACTGTTCATTCTTTCTATGTATTGGACTAATTTCCTGAGGCCAGGACTTGGCAGGTAACGAAACACGGGAAAGAAGTCAGCTAAGTTTCCTGCAGCAAAAACTCGAAGCACTTCATTATTTACTTGGACAATGGTGAGAAACTCTTTGTCACTGTAATCGTACCTTTTGCCAAAACACAGTGCACAGACCACATTAGCAACTGAGCTTACAATTGGAATTGTGGGGTCTAAACCACTTTCTTTACAAGGGTGTTCCATTAACATGCCGACCATCTCTGAGGCTTCAAAACAAATATGCTCCTCCAAGAGACAAGAGCAGGTAGAGTTTTTAGCCTCTGTCTGAGTAAAGGTTCTCAGAGCGTTCTTGCATATTTTCTTGTGGAGTATCCAACTCTCGCCATATTTCTCACTGAAAGTCATGCTAGTCCCATTTGCTACGGCAGAGAACGTAAATAATTCCGGTCTACCAGCAAAACTTTCTCCTTGTCTGACTAGTGCTTGCTTTATGGTATCATAACCGTTCAATACCACCACAAGCAAAGAGCCCATTTTAACCTGAAACACATCTCCATATATTCTCCTCATCTTTGTCAGGGATATATGTGGTTGATTCCCTAGTTGCAGCATGTTGCCAATGACTGGCCAGGGTGTTGGTCCTGGAGGATGATTCAGATCTTTTCTCACACTTTTCCTGCTTCTGAGGGCAATGAGGATCACAATAAAAGCACAGAGGACCACAGTGACATCACAAAAGGGAATAAATGGACCTTCTAATATAAACAGTTTGACAGCCATCTTCACACTCCAGAGTCAGTGAAAACTTTGAGCCTAATGAGAAAAATATGTTAATTAATAACATGCACATCTAAAATGTTTGGGATTACTTACAGTATAGGGCTAAAGGGCAAACACAATAAAAATGAGGACTGTTAAATACAAAAAAATATTATTTTAATGTTAATGCATGTTTACTATATTAACATTTAGGAAATTACACAATTCACCGCTCTACAGCAAGAATCATTGCATTCAAATTCAAATCCTGGAAATAAAATGAGCAATTTTAACTTTAATAAATGTATTTACATGTTTTACCATAATTGATTTTATTGTATATTTAGCACTAATTTGCTGTCTTTTCTTCAGGAATTGAAGCAATACACAATATTCATTAAAAAGTAAATATATAAGCAGTGTAAACTTACGAAAAAACACTATATTTATAGACTTGGATTTTTTAAACCCAGGCAGACATCACTACTAGCTACAATTCACTCTGTAATAAGCTACGTTGCATTCTGTATGACAACTTCTAAAATTCCCTTGAAAAGAATTGATCTTTACCTGACAAAAAGCAACTGAAAAAGTGACATCTTTTCAATTTAGCGTGTACACTTTAATACTAACTAGTTAAAAGAAAGAACATTAATTGAGTGAAGCATAAAGCCCTACTACTTTTTTAAAAACCTTTGAAGTAAACACTGCAGTACTTACGAAAATGCCCAGATAAAGTTTTAGGCTGCTCCAGGACGTCTCTTACAAGACTGAAGTGCCCCCTCTAAATCAGTTACAAGGTATCATGACTTGTAACGACGCAGCAGGACTAAATATTTAAATCAGATTGAGGTGAAGAGGGAAGGGCTTTGTAGAAAGAGCTGAATATTTAAGCGCTCATACTGAAAGGCGAGCCTTTGACCCTTGTAGCCTGTCAGAATTGTTGTTGTTCCTCCAGAAACTTTTTTTTTTCCATACGAAGCAACGCGAATGAATTAGTTGCCTTGCATTTTTTGTTGTTGTTGTTGTTGTTGTTGTTGTTGTTGATCGCCGTGAGACAGCGTTTGGAAAACAGAAAGAAAAGATGTGGGGAGACACCACCGCAGTAAAATCGGGGGGGTGTTGTTACCCCCCTCCTTTTCTCCTTGTCCAGTTTATACAATAAGGAAAGCTAAATTTGGTCAATACTGCAGCGGGCTGGACTTTTTTCTTCAAAGAACAACATTAAGCCTCCGTTTATAAAATGCATTATTAATAATTGCAAACAGCCCGAGAACGCAATTTTAAGCTTTTTTATTTATATTTACCTTAAATTCAAGAGCGCGCAGTGTGCAGCACAAAAAGTAGCTATACTATTTTTGATAGTAATAGCAGCTTTGCTAAATATATGTGCGCGATTTATGCATTTTGTATAAACATTCTGCTATGCTTTTTATTACTCAAATACTCCCCATTCCTTGCTGCAGTAGCTATCAACAGCTTCATATACTGTCCTAATAGCATCCTGTCCTTCTAATAGTATTTCACCATCTTTTTCTATCATTAACAACACATCTCCAAGAGATCACTGAATCTCTCAGAATATTTATGCTGCTTACAATTAAAAAAATACAATACAGGAAGGCCACATATTTGTCAAAACATTAGGCTTTTGTTTCAACTGTTTGTGTTGTGTACTAAATACAGTACATGACTGTTTGATGGATTGGCAAATTGTACACTAACATGAACAATTCCAGATACTGTATCTGTGTTTTATTTGTGTTGGTCAAGATGCACTATGTGAACTGTATTCTATTAAAAGCACAAGCAGTTGAATTTGTTTGGTCATCCTGATATGTTAAACTGACTTACTTTACAATGTTACCTCTTATGCATTTAACAATCAGTATCATAAAACACACACTGGAAGTCATTTGTAGGGGTTTAGTGGAAGTGTGTTCTACAAAGGACTGGGAGTGTATGGAATAAGCTACCCCAGCATGTTCTTGAAGTATAATCCCTGCAATCCTTCAGAAAACAGCTGTAGGAGCCAACAGACTGTTAGTACTCTAACTAGTATGTTAGATGGGTCAAAATGCCTCTTTATTTGTAACCTTCCATACTGTTTTTTACACTGTTTTATACAGTAGACAATATGAACTCCTTTTGAGTCTCTAAGCGTGTTTGCTTTGATGTTGTATACTGATGGTTGTGTCTAGGTTGAAGATGCATCTGGTGCATAGATTCTGTCTAGGTCTCAGTTGGGTTGTGATTAATTCATTTCTCTGTTTAGATAGGCATGAGGGCTGGCTGTATCATTATTCAATATTTAAAAGGCAATTATAACTCCAGCTATCTTAACCGAGATCTCAACTTCATTGAGTCTATTGTATATGCACCCAGTTTTTTGCTAATTGCATTTACAGAGAATTACATTTCTCTCTTGGTCCTATTTAATTTTTGCAAGTACTGTAATCATTTGGTTCTGCACACTAATTCTTTACAGACTTATCCATTAAAGTAACAAGTCCTTTGTGATTATTATCTCATTTATTTTTTAGCACTAGCTGAGTAGCCATCCCTCAACTCTTGTGATTCTGTTACAGATTTTCTTTACAAGATATGTAGAAACAAAGCTTGATGGGAAGAAAATATTCATACTGAGTCTACCTACAATAAGTGTAATCTATTACTGCATAAAATAAAAATAAACCTGCCTCTTTACTTACCTGAAAATTACTCTGCCAACAAACTGTTTAATCAGAAATTCTTGTTCTGGCATCAACTGTTAGTCATCAGGGTGATTAAATCACATGTTATATATAGATAGTTCTAAGTTCAGGAATTGAATTAAACATAAGATATGATTAAAGTGAATAAAATGCCCCCTACAGTCAGTAATAGTTCAGGGACATATTATGCTACATGATTACTTTTCTCTTTAATGACAGAGTAATAAATAGGAGACCACATTCAAGGTAAACAAAGGTTTATTTATAATTATCACAAACTGAACACAAAATACAAGACAGATTGTCTTCAAAAAACTATTTACAAAGATTGTGAGTCCCTGAGTCCAAGGGTTCTACAGTTCAAAGCTACAGTATCTTCACTTGCACCTCTAAGATAGACCAAGTTGAAAGCAAACATTTGTTTAGGGAAGTATTGCTTTTTTCTTCACATCAGAAGACTCTCAGGACAGTCGGCTCTCTCAAGCTGAAGCTAGCCTCAGAGGACTATTTCTTTCAACCAGAAAATACAACACAGACAAAGAAGCTTTGCTGGTATTTTAAAAATATTTTCTCAAATATTAAAAATAACATTTTTAGGACCATATTGCCACTTACAACACTCTTACAACACTTTTTAGTTTATTTTGTATCTCAAATTATCAGATAATTATATAATCAATATACAGTGCCCTCCAAAAGTTTTGGGACAAAAACTTAAAATTGGTGTTTCCCTGTTGTGTACACAAGACATAACATACACTGTAAAAATTATTATAGTCAGAGATCAGAGGGTCACCTTTTATTTTTATAATATATTTTGCAAACAAAATGAATCATTTTCAACCAAAGTATACTTTATGTTCAGTCTTTTATTTAAAGAAATGAAAAAGTCAGTATTTTGTTGCAAATCCCTTGCTTGCAATAACTACATCAAGCCTCCATCCCATTGACATCACCAGACTCTTTGTTTCGTCTCTGGAGATGCTTTGCCAGGCTTTAACTGCAGCCTCTTGAGGTTGTTGCTTGTTGGTCAAGCTTTCTGCCTTCAGTCTCCTTCTGAACAAATGAAATTCATGCTCAGTTAGATCTGGTGATTGACTTGCCATGTTCAAAATGTAATGAACTGGCACCCAATAAATCTGGTGCCAATTTGTCATACATTTGGAGACAAGACCTGTTTGTAGATCTCTGAATTTATCTTACCGCTGCCATTTTCAGTTAAGTCATCAATAAAAACCATTGAGCCTGTTCCAGTAGCAGCCATATGTGCCCAAGCCATGATACTCCCTCTTTACTGAAGAACTGGTATGCTTATGGTCATTCCTGTTTTCCTCCACATTCTAGCCTTTCCATCACTTTGTTAGATCACTTTGATAGATGTTTATTTTGGTCTTATCTGTCCCTAAAACCTTGTTCCAGAACTCCTGCTGCTGATGAAGGGTTTACACCTTGCAGTACAGCCCCTGAATCTTTCATGTTGAAGTCTTCTGTGGATTGTGGTACTCGAGACATGCACTCCCACACTCTGGAGATTATTTTTAATTTTGGTGGGGGTTCTTTACCCTTAGAAATATTTTTCCTGTCATCCACTACATTTGTCTTTTTTGGACGCCCCTTTCTCACCCTATGCTTGACTCTTCCAGTTGTTTCCTTTTTCTTAAGAACATTCCAGATTGCTGATTTTGTAATACCAAGAGTCTTACCAATTTCTCTGATGGTCATTTTCTTTCCTCTCATTTTACAAATGGCTTTCCTTTCTGCCATAGTGAGTTCTCTGGTCTTCATGATGGTTTCTGCTGAGTAATTCAAGGGAAGCAGTTTCAAAAGACCTCAGCCATGCCTAGACCTTCACAGATATTGTATGTGTGTGAAATGTATGCAACTTGTAAAAGCTGGGCAATTAGACCTATAAACCCATTGTTCCTAATACTTATAATAATTATAAATTAATAATATTATTATAAATATAAATTAAAAATTGTGCTCATTTAAAATGTGGGGGATTGAACAAAAAAAGTGCTCTTGTTATATAATGGTAAAACATTTCTGCATAAAAATACTCATAGGTAAAAGGGGATATTCTATGCTTTTGTCACATTTTGGCACATTTTTTGAGAAAGTGAGAAACCTTCATTCAAATTGAGAAAAACATTATTCCATAAGAAACATGAATGGAAATGTAGGGAAACATTAGTTTTCTTTTCTAGTTGCATTTTGAAATTAGTGTCCTGATGTATGGCCTCCAATGAACAGTATGCAAATGTATTTACTGAGTTACCTGGTGGAGTTCCAGTGAAAGTATGATCGAGTAAGAGAAAGGAATGGTTCTGGAGAGCATGAATGTTAACTTGTGCTGAACAACACGGATGTACTTAACAATTCCTTTTCCCCTTTAGTTGCTGAATGCTCCTTTAGGGTTCTTCTATAGTATCTTAAACGGTAAAAGCCGTATGTGTGACAGGGATATTCATTGTGTCTGGAGATGTTTCATTTCTGTCCCACATGGTGGTGCCCTCGCAACAGACCCTGCCCTCTGTAAAAGTCTAGAGTTTAGAAGAGATGACTGATGAGATGTACTGGTATCATTTACCCAGGGCACCCAAGAAGTTGAATTTCTCCACAGGATAAGATTTCATTACATTGTCTTAGGAGGACTGGCCAATACCTTGCAGAAAAAGTCGGATGACACAAATTGAAATCTCTGGTCATTGTTTTTCTAGCTTTTCAACATAATATTTTATTTCACATAGCTGTTGCAACCTAAATATAAACAAAAATATGTGCAAGTTCTCAGCTTGGACAAATCTATCTTTTATAATACGTTATTGCATGGTGGTGACTATACACACATACCTGATGATAATCATGGCTTCAGCTTGTAATCTTTCATTACAGATCTGTGCAATACATACACAGAATATACTGGGTAGTTCATGCTGGTGAAGGTTATCTTGAAACCTTGTCAAAAAGAATGATGGTGTAGATTGGAATTCAAATGTATTCTGAGGTACATAAGTGTTCGGAAATGTAAGGGGTTCCACAAATATTAGTACTGTATCAAAATATATATTAAGGCACTCTAACGTAGCAACTACTGTACCTAACTCTCACAGATGCAAAGCCTTTGTATAGGATACAATTAATTTTTGAAAAGGTACCAGTTCAATCAATGTATACAATATAGAGTTGTACTGTATGTGATAAAATGCATGCTGGAACAAGAACTGAAAACATACATTTTCAGAAAAATCCTAGAAACAAAATATATTTTTTTTATATGTACTGTACAGTATGTTTACCCTTTTACCCAT